AAGCAGTTACGCGTGACCGGTAGGGTTTCTATGCCAAATATGTGTGTGTCTATGTTGCGCGTGTGTGTGCGTAGATTCGCGAAACGAACCGCGGCTGTAAAGAGTAGAATAGTAAATGTGGCTGAAGGGAGAGAGAGAAAATCCCTTGAATAACTTCTGACAAAAGCAAGATTCTGGCAAACAGAATCTAGTCAAATCAGTCTCTACCGGTTCCTAATCGAGATTATGACAATGTAACGCAGCTTTTCTCCTAATACTCACGGCCTTGTCGACGCTCCAATGGAAGATGGAACGTGACAGCCTCTTTTTTTTTTTTTTTCTTATATAGTTAATGAAAATTACCTTTTAAGGATGGTAATTTTTGTTCTAATTTTGTGAATTTTGAAGCTTGTCGATCGAGGTTTCTACGCTCTCTTATTTTTTTTTTATAACTACTTTTTGGTGCAGGAATTGGAATAGAAATTAATTTATGGTGTTAGTAAATCTTGGTCTCGAATTCGAATCTCTCCGATTTGGAATACTCTGAACGTGAAATTGTCACTTGATTCGTACAAACGAGAAATTCGTTTGTAAGATGTCAATCGACGAAACGATTCCTATTCCTCGATGGACTGAGTGTCCACGCACGAATAGCAATTTTCATCGAGAATTACGATATTCGTCTACAAAAGATAGACACATTGTAACGGAGCTCGAGTGATCGAGGGCGCTGAAATTGATAGACTGATCCTTTGAATTTTGATGCAATCTCTTGGACAGCTTTTCACAGAAAGCTATCAGATTCCTTATGTGATATTTCCAATATTATTTCTCGACTAGAAATTAACTACAGCTATCGAAGATATGTTTTACTGTTCTACGTAGAGAACTAAACTCATTTACATATATATATATATACGATATATGTATACATATAATATGTACACGTATGTATGTATACATATACGTATACATATTATATGTACACATATTGTTTTTTGCATTTTTCATTTCAAACGATGAACGATGGATTCGTTCAAGTTTAAAGTTCCTCGAATTTCTACCGCATTCTCGATCACAGAATTTGATTTCTCGATCGGTCGGAAAAATCTTTTTTTGCTAGACGTAATCACGAAGGCAAACGAGAGAGAATTATAAAACGAAAAAGAGGGAGGGAGAGAGAGAGAGACTCACACACACACACAGACACACATAAACACAGAGTACTCCGAAGCAGAGAGTAAAAAGAAAAAAGAAACGCGATAGGGAAATGGTACGCACATTGAGCCGAGTGAGTGATAATCCATGTTGAACAGAAAAAAAAGTTCTAGTTAAGTGGAAATTTATCGTAATAAATATATACATATATATAAATAAATATATAGGTAAGTCGTTGCGTGACTCAACGTGGAGCGTAAGTGAGAAGGAATGCGAGTGGCCACGAGTGAATGAACTTGAGCGTGAAAGGGAGACATAAAAAGAAACTGATGAGGAAGAAAAAAACGACGAAACGTGAGGAACAAAATGGTCAAGGAAAAGAAACGCGATGGATAACGAGGGTGGGGTGGGTGGGGGTTGGAACAAGGTATGACACAAAGAGTCGTGTGAAATAGCCAAATATGACAAAGATGTTCTTTTCTTTCTCTTTTTTTTTTGTTTTTTCTTCTACTTCTTCTATTGTCTTTTGTTCTTTTTTTTTCTACGTAGATAAAAAACGCGACAGCAGTAGTCAAACTGACTGACGTGGTTAAACGCGACGTAGTTGGTTTACTGTCGTCGAGTAGATTTTAAAGCTCTAATCTATCGTTAGGGTAATTCTCTAGGCTAGGAAGAGAGGCAAAATGGTCGGTAGTTGGTCCTCGGACCGAAATTGGCCGCTAAATAAGAAGATACATATTCTAATTTTTTCTTTTTTCTTTTTTTTTATTTTTGCGTGTGCGAACGCCAGTACATGTAAATAACGTAATTAGGGATCGACTGTGATCGATTTCGTCGAGCACAAAAGGAAGGATTAATTGAACGGGGGACGTCCCCGTTTTAGGAGCTAAACCGAACAATTCAGAACATACTCATTGATTCTTGTAACGTTAAATTAACGAGCGTAGATTTTAAAGGAGAGTCTGTAGAAACGAAACGAAGCGAGAAATAAACGATGGTAAAGGAAACACAAGATATATGCTAGTGATGCACGAGTATGATAATCTTCGAAGAAGCGAGAATGAAAGGGGAAAGGTTCTCGGGAATTCTCTGTTTGAGCGGCAAGAGACGTTCCCAGGATCGAAAAGAGACTCTTTGCTCTTCGAACCTTGGTCGCTTAATCGCGACTCGTTCCTCTTGGAACGAACACATTTTTCATATACGTAAGGCTCTCGAGATGCTGTGTGCTCGAAAATGATATATTGATATTAGAAAGGAATACGCTCTTGATCGTGTTCGTTCGCTGAGGAACACGCGCCAAAAGCGGAGCAACTAAGCAAGAAAGATCTATCCCTGTATATTGTACACTGTAATTACAATTTATACTTACTCGTAATCGATACCTTTATCGGTAGGCTATTACAACTAGTGGCTAGCGTAAGTCAAGCTCAAATCTAGGCGAGACCCACCGTCTTCGCGTCTTTATTCTTCGTCACGAGTGCACAACTCCCATCCCCCGATATTGCTCCTCTTGTTCCGGACTTTTATCGTTTTCTCGAGCGTGTTCTCCGATTGCGTACGCAGGCCTACCGTACACGATTCCCGTTATATTCACGATTCACGTCGTTGAGCTTACATTTTTCATTAATTTCATTTCTCTTTCCACTGTAATTCTTTTCTTCGGTTGCTTATTAGCTTTGTTTGTAAAACGTTGATACAAATATTCCTGGGCATCTCGCGAAATTAACAACGCGTCCAGGCGATCGACGGATCGTGCTCTATAAATATAATTCAATTGTAAAGTCGATTAATTTAGATTCGATTTAGTTGTAGTAGTTTGTTTCTTCGACTCCGATGTCCCTCGGGGTGTTTCGTGAAACTAATCATTGGAACGAGTTCAGTGCATAGAAACGATAGAAAGATCCGCGATCGATAATACGTTTTAGCGAATGATACTCGAGATGACTATTTTAGATTCGAACACGACGTTCTTAAGGAAAGGTTGACTGTAAATAATCACGTGAGCACCGAGAAAGCCTAGTTCTATCGATACTATGTACTGAACTCGATCTTCGTATATTCGCTACATTTTGCGGAACACCTTAAATATTTATCTATAGGAAAATTTATCTATATAAAGAATAATGAATCAATCGCTGTACAAAGGGAAATTTAATGAAATTAGAGGTAGCCAGAAACACGAATAGATTAGAATAGTATCTGTTTCTGAGTCTCTTAGAAGAATCGAGCATTTGTCTCGATGATAGAACCACAGATACTAGTCTTCTTCATACTTCTAGAAACTAACTTATAATATTCGCCAAACAAAAAAAAAAAAAAAAATCGTGCTTCGGCGTAGAATCCTCTCTTCGTGAATTGTACAAAATAAAAAAGAATCTGCTAATAATTGTAATTTTAACACGCACGATTCGATCGTCGAACGCTTTGGACGAATCTATGAAATTCAAATTAGAAAATATTGTAAGTGAGAGAGAGAGAGAGAGAGAGAGAAAGAGAGAGAGAGAGAGGAAGACAAGCCAAATATGCGAGGTAGAACGTCAAAATTTCAAATTGGAAAGAGCACAGTCGACTAATTCGCCCCATTTGTGCCCACGTTTCATTTTTACGTTCTCCTTTTTCGTTGATCCGCGTACGTTCTCGAGTGCTAGCGGGTAAATCGCATTGTAAAATAATCCAATACGATCGATACGCACCGTAACGTTATACATATATAAATATATGATTCTACTCTAATTATTATTAAAGGCAGTACCGTAAACGGGATTTTTAAAGTGAATCTAGATGACTACAGGACTTACGTAAACGACACATCTTTACGAGCAACATATCCTAGCGTACTAGGCGGCGTCGTGGCCAAGTTCAGCTCGAAATCCTCGTAGGTCCTTGGCTGACGAGATATTTGCGATTCGTCTACGCGACAACGCACATTTCCGCTCTCTTATTCCGGAAACTCTTTGGTGTCGTCCTTCCGCGATATGCCGGGGACACATGAAAAATGCGTGGTGCCGAATACACCTTCGAGGCCAGCGCCTTCGAGGATTTCGAGCACGACCCATGGCCATCTTCTTTTTTCGAATTATCGCGAGGCAAAGACAGAAAGAGAATGACAAGTGAGAAAAAGAAGATAACGAGAAAATTAACAAGTAAGGGATGTTCCATGACATTAGGGCGTTATTACGGTAATAAGTCTAACTTCTTAGAGTCGTGAATGAGTGAATGATATTATGAAGAGACGATATGTGTCCGTGTATCGTGTGCTGAATGAGCGTGATATGATGCTTTTGCACCTCGTCGAATCGCCGCGACAAAAACAGACGATAGAGAGTTCTCGGACGTATTTGTTTCTAGGGACAAAATGAGAATAACTTGAGCGATTAAGTTAATTAGAGGATAGGATGTGAATGAAAATGCGCGCGATTCGATGATATACAAAATGAAGGGTCGTGGATTAAAAACGTGGATTAAAAAAAAAAAGAAAAGAAAGAATGAAATTGAATACAAACTGGAGAACATCGTAAAAAGAGCTAAATGCCACCTGTTTTTTCGCTTTTCTCGCAGTGTAAACGGATTCGCAACGGGAGACGCGTGCGAATCGTCATTTGGTTTCCGGCTGCGAATCCAACTCCGGAGGAAATAAAAAGAATAACGCTAAAACGAGCGTAAACGACTTTTTGCGCCAAGAAAAATGTAGAAGAGTTGAGCGTTAGCATATTCACGCATCCGCGGAACACACATTTACACGCGATGGAAATTCGACGACGAGGAAGTAATCTATGAATCTGCAGGAAAAGAAAGCAAAAAAGCAAAAAAAAAAAATAAATTAATTAAATAAATAAGAATTAATTATAACGAAAAAGAGCTAAATGCCACCTGTTTTTTCGCTTTTCTCGCAGTGTAAACGGATTCGCAACGGGAGACGCGTGCGAATCGTCATTTGGTTTCCGGCTGCGAATCCAACTCCGGAGGAAATAAAAAGAATAACGCTAAAACGAGCGTAAACGACTTTTTGCGCCAAGAAAAATGTAGAAGAGTTGAGCGTTAGCATATTCACGCATCCGCGGAACACACATTTACACGCGATGGAAATTCGACGACGAGGAAGTAATCTATGAATCTGCAGGAAAAGAAAGCAAAAAAGCAAAAAAAAAAAATAAATTAATTAAATAAATAAGAATTAATTATAACGAAACTTCAGGTACATGAAGTAACAAAAAAAATATATACAAAAAAAAAAAACATGTCGAGAGAACAAGGATACGGTCAACTCGAAAACTTTAGTTGCAAAATACTGATAGGAGTACACGGGGTGTCTTACGGAACACCTTTATCATTGTCTGATTTGATGATATTTTGTAAGTCTGGACCAGTTGTTAGGTTCTTATTACTCCCATAGCGACTTCTTATGGCGTATTTTCTCTGTATATTGTCAATGTTTATTATTAAATATTTTTCAAATAAAACTCACCGTCTTCCATTCTGTTACATCCGCCCTTGACATTAACCCTGTTGCGCTCTTTGCACCGATTTTATCTCTCTATCGTTAAAAAATTTCTCAACTATGAAGATAAGATGGAAGATAAAATAGTCATTGGCATGTTTCATTTCACGTTCCACAATTTTATGCATAGAACTCGTCTCTTTTTATTTGTACAAACAAAATATCGAGATCAGGCTGTGAAAATTTCAGGTACGCGTCAGGGTTAACTCACTATACCTTAGCTATTTATAGAGCAGAAAAAATTCGATACCTGTAAACTACAGTGTAAACGTTCTATCTTACTCAAAACAAGAAAAAAAAACAGAATTTTCCGTAAGAATTTATCTTCGATTAAGCGAACAGAAACACGAAAGATAACGAATTACTGTTTCCAAAATACTCTTAGAATCTTGTGTTCGTTGGTGTCTCGTTGTCGTTAAATTCTCACGGTTCCGACATCGCGACGTGTCTCGATATGAGAACAGAGTTAGAGGGCCAAGAAGCCAAGTCCGAAAGAATCCGCTTTTCTAGGACGTGCTTACGTTTCCGGTGAAAGACGAGTTCGCCTGCGGGGCCGAGATCTTTTTTTCGTCAGTGACTCATCGCGCACATGGAATTACCATTCGCTCTGTGTGTTCAGCGTTCGCCTCTCTGATCTGTCAGTAAGCCGCGGACCGTCAACCAGAAAGCACGCGTGCTTCTCTGCAGAAACGATCAACGCGCACGTGCGTGACCAGGAATACCGATTCGAGGCCGACAAGTGGTTCCTGGCCCTTTAGAATTCGAGCATTCGATGAATACTCGCGCTGAGAGCGAAGGTGCATCCTTAAGCTCTGTATACGCTACAGATTTCTTAATTTGTCTCGTTCTTCTCTTCTATTTTTTTATTATCTTATTCTCGATCGTTGATCGACAACAAAAGTTGAATAATTGGAAGATCTTTGCAAATTGGTTCAAGGATTATCAATATCATAATTTGTTAACGCTATTCGCATCGAAGATCAAGTTTTACACAAGCTTGCAATTCTCGCATTTATTTTCGTTTCGATATTCTTGTGAGATTATTATAGGATCGCGTGTTTGAAAGGTTTCTTAAACATTAGACGAGAAGATAATAATATTAGGATTTTGTAAAACCACTGTTCGAGAGAATATTCGTATCAAGGGCGAGAGTGTGGAACTCCTTAAGCCTGGAATTTTTTATTTGATTTTCTCGTTGTTCTCGTTGCCAGTCGAAAACTTGTAAATTGATTATTGTCGAAATCGAGGACGCACTATAGCGCTACTCGTATATAAATATAATTAAGATTCTTGGACTTGGCTTCCAATTGTTATTCTTAGACGTTAGCTATAGATATGAATTACTAAAAAAAAGTGACACAAATCAAACGACATGAAAAACGGCTTTCAATCATAATATTTGCAATGTTTGAATAGTTCCTTGGAACTAAGAGGTGATTATTGAAATTTATTGACAGAGGTTTCGTAACGGATATATCTTAATGACCAGTATTATACGCGTTGCTTTAATGCAACATCGTTTTAGCTTTAGGAAATATAAAATAATTCAAATACCAATCGTTACGTTCGTGAATAAGGAAGTTATATCGAAGAAATTTGTTCTCCAGCGTATGCTAAACTTACAACATGCACGTCATTCCATTTCACTCGCTACTAAACATTTTTCTCTATTAATAGCAATTCTTTCTCCATTGCATGAAAATCATAATAAAAGATATAGCGACTGCGTCTCTCTTTCATTCACAGAATTCATTAATCGCGAAAAAATCTAACCACACTTTTACCAACGTTTTACGTAACACGAACAACATTCGATACTTTTAGCGTCAGATATTATGCATAATAAATGAGACTATATAAAAATATAGCCCTGTGGAATGCAAATTTTCCCCGGAAAAGTTAAATCAAGGCCTAGCACGAGAAATTGAATAATGAAAATCTCACTCCTAACGAAAATAAACGAGTCGCCGAATATTACGAACGCGTAGTTCCCAAACTATCGAATACATAACTCTCGATAAAGAATGAGAAATAAAAATATCGTTAAAAATATCTAGCGGAGGAAGAAATATTAAGAACACGTAACTCTGGCACAGAAATAACAAGAATGATTCTTCAGATGACGTACGAATTCATCCGATAGAATACTAATCATTTGCACATACACTGTCAATCGTAACCGCAGGTATCAGCGTACTTGCTGATATTTCAAACAAATTCAATATTTTTCACCGCCTCTAATTTCTAATTGTCTTATTACGAAGCTGACGTTACTCGATTCATACGTTTCGCGTAATATAAAACATTAAACGAAATAAAATCCGTTAGAATTTTCCAACGAACGTAACGAGTAGGTGTCTCGATGTTTATAGACGATGCATTTCGTACGTCGATCGTTACGGTACAAAAATCGATCACCTAAGAATTCCACCTGGGAAAAGTGAATCTGAAAAGCGAAGCTTTCAAATCTTCACCGAAGATGCATCTTCATCGATACAGCGATTCACAATCGTCGTTCTATGAACGAACGAACGTTCCCTATTGGAAGGCTAAAGCGAAGGCTCGGTTTCGGAAGCGATCGTAGTAACAGAACGTAAATCATCGGTAACATAACAGAAAACGCGTGGTAGTGGAGTCACCGTATAAATTATGGTAACGAGTCGCGTCGAAAAATTCCAGTTGCGAGACACGTAAGTGTTGTTACTTTACTTTGGAACTTAGCATATCGCCGACTGGCATCCGTGAATTTCAATTAATCGCTTATTTAATGAACGCGTCGATAAGAACGTTTTAGCTGTAAGCGCGAGTCCACTTCGCGTCTCTTTTGCATTTTTCTCGTAAGGATAAGACACGGCGAAACAAATCCTTACAAACTGTAGGTTTCGCGGTTCATCGAATTAGTAACGAGCGATCGACGTTTCTTTTCTTTTTTTCCTTTTCTTGCCTCGTGGCATGAATGGACGTTGAAATTTTTGGTCGACGACGCGTCGCCTTGAGACTAATGGTCTCTTTGCATGGGCTTCTCGTTAATACGAAACACGCCACGGAAGTTTCAAGTACTAATTTAAACCATTAAGGGGCAAGTCTTTTCGTGAGGTCACTGTTAAACGCAATTCAATTTAGAGAATCTTCTGGCACGAGTATAATAAAAGAATTTGTTCCGCTATCTTCCTGCAGTGCAACCAAATTTTATTAACCCTTAATGGCTCGTGATCGTTTAGCTGCAGATGCATACTGATTAGAGCTTGGAAAATGATATAAATATCGAGACACAATTGGTGAAATATACATTTTATCGATATATTGTCGTAAAAAATAAAATTTAGTACATTGTATACTTTGCTATATGTAAATTTGAGGAAACTCAAATGGCACAAAGATATATTACGTAATACGATTCAAATGTTATCAGATGTAGGAAAGTCTTTCGACTGTCAATGAAAAAGGGATTGGCTTACTAAATGTTTGGGACATTGTAAGGAATCCATTTTACAAAACAGCAATAAAATTACTGTGTATCTTTTGTCAAAGCATTACAAAATTATCAAGAATTATTTTTAGATTCTGCTTTAGATTCCGGTAGCTTTATCAACTTTTTATTTTCATAAAAGACACAGCGGCTCAAAATACAAGTTTAACTGGAGTTCACGCGAGGAAGCACTCGACTCGAACGCATTTTTATCGGACGCATCGAGAGTTATCCGAGCGTAAGATATTTTCGGTGAGTATAAAGGTCTGTCGAAAAACAAAGCGCGTTTGAAAGCCTGTGGACCGGAAGCTAGAACGGTTTCCAGCAAACCCATTTATCGTTGCGTCACAGTAGAAATAATGAAAACATGTTATTCTTAGTGATTGCAAAATGCATTCAATCGAAGTTACGCAAACCGTTTTTGACTATAAAACGTGTAGCCAAAGACGAAATAGACGGATTATACGAAACTGAATTAAGTAAACCACGTAGGAAGAATACCAACGTAGAAAAATATAACGACAGGAAGAGAATATCGAAGCGTAAAAGACTTTTAAAAGAATATTTTTGCGATAAAAATTAATACAAAAAAGTAACAACTGTTTTATACTTTTGCTTAAACAATTAAAGATCTCGTAACAAAGGCTCGTCCAAGCGTTTTTATCAGAGTGAAAAATATTCTTTCATCGGAAAAAGAAAGATTCGTACACATATACTTTACGTATACGTATATTTTTGTACGCACAAATCGTTCGAAATTAAAAAAAATAAAACGGTACAAAGAAAGCAGATACTCGTTGTTTGCGTATCAAAAAATATAAATAATTAAAAAATTATATAACGACAATGTTTTCAAGCAGATTGTAAATTGAAGGAAAAAAAAACGATAGAGAAAGAACGAATATTCTTCTTCATGTCTCAAAGAATATAGAAAAATAATATTTTTAGGCGAATATCAAGAACGATGTGTCCAGATGTCACACGCAAATACCGTTTCCTAAAGCACCATTAAAATGGACTTTTGCAAGAGTTACAAATTTCTACAAATCCTACCAAAACCCGTGAGACGCGTCGAATGGTCCTGGCGAACGGAAAATGGTACGCGCGTCCGTTTCATCGAGGATGATTCCAACGAGGATGATTCCATCGAGAATTGTCTCATGGAGCTCGTCAATATCTGCGTTCCAGCCATCGCGGTCATCCTTGCGCTGATCACCTTTCTCAGATGTAAACACAGGAAACAGCCAAAGTAAGTTGACGAAAGAAAAGACAAGACTCGATGGAGATTTCATTTTCACGATAGAGAGATGAATTACGATCCATTCGCTTCGATCATTGAGATTTATCTCGATTTAACGAGAGCAGTTGAGAGCAAGAAGAGGCTTCCTTCGAAACTTTTTGTTCCACTCGCTTCGAAATTTTCTCTTCGAAAGTTACCTGCCTCGAAATGTTCGTTTCAGAATTCACATACTTCGAAAGTAATTTTACATCGTTTAACGGATGTCCGATAACAGAAGGCACGGTTTATTTGTACGTTATTTCACAGTCTCTGGTACAGCGCTGGACAATGGCGATCGAATGTGATGTCCGTTGAAATTTTCATTTCAAAACTTTTGCTTGCTTCGAAAGTAACTTTGCATCGTTTAACAGAAGTCTGATAACAGAAAGCAAGGTTTATTTGTACATTATTTCACAGTCACTGATACAACGCTTGATAATAACGATCGAAAGATACTCCACGAGCGATAAGATTTGGCTATTCATAGCTGGAATGGTATTTGCTTGAAACGGGATATCTTTAGTTTCAGAAAAACGTGTATCGAATATTTAATTTCAAAAGGCGAGGCTAGAAGCTGCAGCTTAGCTCACACCAATTGAAGCAACATTCAATTAAACGAAATGTTTCACGTTTGGGATATCCCATGATTCATATGGGACCATGTTCCCATTCGAACAATTTGCTTCAATTAATGTGGTGAAATTTTATCGAGCCTGTTAATTTCTTCGCCTTTGCTTGACCCTTTTTACGTGGAATTATTCGTTGCTTTATTTATTGCTTTTTCGGCGATGCTTGATCATTCGCTGTAATTAAAAAAGTTCTTCTTTGGAAAAAAACAACTGATGAAATTTAAAGATTAGAATGGTTTACTGTGTAATTGGTTCTCTTCTGAAGAATATTGCCGGATATTTGCCCATGTCAAACATCTGTAACACTCCACCACGTTCCTGGAACGAGCTTACATCCACAAACTTTCATCTGTTTTCCATGCCACGCTCGTCACTTCCAGCGTTCCTCGTTCCATAAATCAAAAATGTGACAGATATACAAGATTTCGGAATTTCTTGCTACCACATATCCAGTAATCTCTTTTAATGTCTTATTTGTCAACTAACTTGCCTAAACCATGTTAACAATATGATAAAACGAGGAAAAGCGTCAAATAATTTGAAAGATAATTGTTTCTTTGTCCTCAAGATTTCTGATGTTTCTGGTACGAGATAACAGAAATATATACTTTCTTTTTTTTTGGAATTAAGATTAAGCTTAGAAAAATTACTTTTCGTCGATTATTAACAATAGAACATTTTTTCGGATGATCTTGTAATAAAACCTGTAATCAGTTTTACCAAATACAAATACATCTTTCGTTTAATTGATTAATAACTTTCAAAAGGTCACCAAATTCACGAAAAGCATAAAACCCAAAGAAGGGACGGAGAACGTACGAAAAACACAAGTCATAATCCCAAATGAAAACAGCAAAGTTGTCGTTAACCGCGTGGAATAGCGAGAAGCGCGGATTAAATGGATCAACAGAAGACCCAGATTAATTACCAGAATAATTCATAACACGTGCTGTTGCAGGGTTTTCGAATACCTACGTGTACACTCTTTCCTGGTTTGCGTCACGTTGCCTGTTCCAGGAATCTTAATGCAGCTGAATGAGATGGCTTTTATCCTTGTTCGTTCGCTGAAAAATCAATAGCAATTCCTCGTTGCCTTCTTAACCCTTACGGACTATCGTGCTTCAAATTTCACTCCGTGTGAATCTTGTTTCAGCGTTATCATTCCGTGATAGAGTCAGGGGAAGACGCATAATATTTGTGCAACATTTTAAAAACATTTTTCGGTATAAAATCTTGGAACAGTCATATATTTAAATAAAAGTCGAACTATAGAAAGACGAAATAATGTTTAATGCAGAAATTGTCTGAAATTCTAAAGAAAGTCCACCGGGGTGGTTGGATCGAAAATCTAGAAATAGAGAGACGAGTTGCGGAGTGTAATTTTATTGGCCCAGAAGCAAAGTCGATAAACTTCTAGAAGCTCTGATGCGAGAAAAATTACGATATCCGTTTAACGAAGGTGGTAATTACGTGGTAATTAGTCGCATGCTTGATTTTCTTCGCGTTCCACTTGACTTAGATTGATTTCGTACGGAAATTGGACCGATACAGGATGGTTGTGCTTCCTGCTTTATTTTCTAGAAGAAAGGATCATTTTCTTGTAATTGGAGGTTTGTCGGAGATCGATTGATCCGATATAAATGTATTCAAAGCTCGTAGGCAAGTTGCAAGTTATATTTAAGTACTTTAACGTAGGATAATAACTATGAATCACGAGTTTCAGTGAAAATATTACAATTTCTCCGTGTCATTATCAAGCAAGAAATAATGAAATTTAAATTCCATCCGATGCCTGGTAAAGGATGTATTCTTTTTTAACATTCTTTTTATTTAGAGATTGCAGAGGACTCCTACCATTTCATACAACTAGAACACTGTTGTGCATGACAGTGTTGGCGGTGCTTTTTGTCGAACTTTGCGAGTCGTTGCTCACGTCGATTTCTTTCTCGTTGATTCTGATGATCGTAGCCATCCTCTACTGTTGGATCATTCATCGCAGGACCGAGGTTAGAGATGCTTGTGGTACTGCCCTCTCTGCTGGAATCTTCGTCGCGATTAGCTTATCGCGAGCATGGAAATTTATGTGTCTGTCTAGGTCAGTTACACTTGTTATTCATTTATTAGAAAAATTATTATTTAATAAGAATTTTGAAATTAACAAATATTCCTCTTTATTATTTTTAATGAATTTGCGATTTTTTGGAAATAATTGCCGAATATATACAGATATGGTCTGTCCATGATACACGTTCGACTCGCAACCACAACGTTCACGGCCATTACCTGTGGGCTCTTAGCCGTTTTGGACTCTTACACGTTCTATCTTATGGTAAGTTGCTTAATGATCCAATTACTATTAATTCTAGGTTGTTATCGTTTCAAGATTTCTTGCGCGATCAAGGGAGGATTTATTTTAACTACTATATATCTGCTTCGGCTATTAGATACGTAGTTTATAAGCCTGCTAGTTCTTACTGCAAGCATCGCGAATTAGCGACACAGCGTTACAACCTTATCGAAGAGAGCCAGCTACTCCCGGCACCAAGTGCAAACATTTGTTTTACATTTACTCAGCTTGTTTGAATAATAATGTTTATTATCGCAGCCTGAAGAGGCAGAGCTTATCGAGTGGTAATGCGAACTTTTCCTCCTCGACGCTGCGAACTAGATCGCAAAAATAGAACCGTCCCGTCTATTCGATATTCAATTTCCAGGAAATTAAATAAAATGTCGCTTCGCGGAAAGTTCACGAATGTTTCGACAACCGGTGTACACGTTGCGACGTACAGAAATAGTTAAATTGTATCTAAACTAATTGCGAGTCGATGCAAGTTCTTAGCCAAATCTCGGAAATAAAGAATAATAAAATAACATAAATAAAGAAACAATACAATAGAAGGATAACGCTTGCAGTGGAATAAAATCAAATTCTAATCTCTTCTGTTCTCTTCCTTATAATACAACCATCCATCGCTGATGCTGCACTAGCTTCGTACAACAGAACAAAATGAATAAAAAGTAACATAAATCCAGGAAAAGACAAGAAAATTGAAAGAAAATTGAAGGATCATTCTATTTTACAAGAATACAATCACTTCCATTCGCTGTAATGCAACTATCCATCATTGAAGTTCCACTAATGCCACTATACATCAACCTCTTCCTCAAGCTTCGTTCGGTAGAATTGAAAACATATTTCACGTCTAACTATAGTCGCGTTAAGAATGGTTCCGTTTGAGCCGTAAGTGGTCTTCCGATAACAGGTAAGGCGGTACTCTGCGTTTGCTCCAAATATATTTCGCGTGTGCACGCCGACTCCTTGACCCAGTAAAAACAAGCGGGTTGAAGCATGCAAATAGCCCGGTATCTTAAAGCGCCGCCGCGAATAAGTCAACTTACGATATTCGTTCCGTCTAGACAAGAAGGAAGAAAAGGTATTTGATCGAGCGAGGAGAACGACGAAGAACAGCGTACAAACACGCGGACGTGCCGTTTCTCAATAGAATCACCTTCCATTGGGTGATCGACCTGCTGTGCAAGGGATACAGTACGCCGTTGGAGAACCACGACCTTGGAGAACTTCCCGAGGAGGAGACTACTAGGAGACAGTTTGACAAGTTTCGTGAAGTTTACGAGAAACATAGGGTAATTATATTCTTCGAATATAAGAAAAATATTTTCTAATCGGTAGGACCGGAGAAAAAAAAACGGTACAGGATACCAAATTTTAATGAAATATTTTAATATTAGTTGAAAGAGTTTCATGGATAAATGACACGAGTAGCAAAATTTGTATCTTAACTACAGAGTATGAGTTACAAATTGTAATTTATGTTATATTTATATTTAATCATAAAAATCGAGATGATTCGGAGTGTTTGGTTGTTTCCGTAGGAGAGAAACGAGAAACTACGTCTTTGGCGATGTTACTGGAAAAGAATATGGTACCCGTTTGCCATTGGGGGATTATTTAAAATACTGGGGGACGCTACAAGCCTTGTTGGACCGATGTCTATTTCTAAAATTCTGAACTACGTCTCTGCTTCTCAAAATGGGACAATAAATCGAAACTCTATGGTATCTAACATTGTTCTATAGCATTTCACCTAAAAGAATTAAATAGAAAATACAACGATTGAAAAGATTAAACAGAGAATTAATTAAAGACACTATGGAATATTTCAGAGTGCCATGACATTTCCTGAAATCTTGCAAAATGGCTATTTTTTGTGCCTGTTGGTGTTTTTCTTTTCTTTATTACAAAGCACTCTAAGCCAGGCCTCCACTCATATCCTTTGCGTTGAAGGGATCCGCCTGAAGAACGCACTTCAGGTACACTTGAAACTCGAAAATAGCAACCATCGAAAACCATCAAGAGAATTGAATTAAAATTACAGACGCTGCTATACGATAAAGCCTTGCGTTTATGCTCTTGGAGTATCGACGAAGAGGATAATCCGACAGACAAGGAGAAAGAACAGAATAAATGTCAGCAATCTGCTGATATTGGAACCTTAACTAACCTAATATCTGAGGATGCTTACAATGTGATGAGCTTTTTCTGGATTGGACACTATACCTGGGCAATTCCATTAAAAGTGAAAGAATAAATAATTAACGATAATTAGATATTTATATCTTATAGCTAATAACGATTTGAAATTTTAAATATCGATTTTAGATCAGCGCCATAGTTTTTCTTCTTTACACAAAATTGGGAATAAGTGCAATTATCGGTGCATTCTGCTGCATATTGATAGTAACGCCACTGCAATTGGTGCTTGGCAAGAAAATGTCGGAAAATTCTAAATTTGTCGCCGTAAGTCGATACTTGTAATTTCTCTTAAATATCTAATAATGAAAAGACAGTTTTAGAACCGACAATATTTTTGTCTTTAGAAAAGCAGCGACGCTAGATTACGTCTGGTTAACGAAATCTTCCAAGGAATAAGATTAGTGAAGCTTAGAGCCTGGGAAAATATTTTCGAGGAGAAAATAAGAAAAACGAGAAACGATGAGCTAAAAATGCTGGATAAGGATTCTTTCTATTGGACCCTTATAAGTAAGTTCGGCTTCTCGATCAAAGAAAAGAATTTTGTTTCGAAATAACGTTGTTAATTGAAACGTGGATTGTTGATAATTAGACTTTCTCACGCATGCTTCATCGGTACTGACGACACTTTTCACTTTTGCCGCTTATTTCCGGCTGGAAGAGAAAAGTCTCGAGGCTGGAAATGTTTTTGCAAGCTTAGCTCTATTCTCACAGCTCACAGTGCCCCTTCTCATTTTTCCTGTGATGATACCTATCATTATTAACGCTATGGTAAGCAAATTCTTTCAACTGTTATTGTATTCTTCTTAATAAATACTTTAATTCAAGATTTCTATAGATTTCAACAAACAGAATAGAGGAGTTTCTCCAACTTCCGGAGATCGACAATGTCTTGCCTAATCTTAACGATGCAAAGTCAGAAGTAGCCGAAAATACATCATCGCTGGCCAATTCTATCGAAGAGAGCACTGTAAGTATCTATGAAATACAACGATAATACTTGAAATATGCTTGAAATATACTAACCGAGAAGCCGTGAAAAATATATCGACGCTCTGAGTGTATTTTTTATTCGAGTAATTAAGTTACTATGATATTTTTATTTCTGTTCTAAATATAAAAAGAACAAAACTCTTTAAGAAAAATTATAGTTACTAATTCAAACGTAGTTGATATTAAACAGCTAAAACTAAGATCCTCGACAGTGTCATTTTGTCATTTTGGTTTCCGGAAAACCTGCCAATTGCAAAATATCTTTACATCTTTAATATTATAAAATATTAGGAACTAGATACTGCAAAATATGAATTTCTATTCGTGGCAATTAAATATTTCTTCAGATAGAAACAATGAAAACGCACAACACTCCCAATTTTGGATCGTTGGATAACATCAAAGAAGACGAAGAAGATGGACAATCTTCTGACTTGGCGGATTACACGATGGACATAAATTCATCGGTGGACACCGTGTTTGAGAAGGATCCGGAGATTCCGGTGCTTACAATGAAGCGCTGCGGATTTTCTTGGGGCACCGATGAAAGTCTGTTATCCGTATCTGATCTTAGTTTTCCACGTGGTAAGGTTAATTTGATGCAGATCCACTGTAGCAATTATCGATCACTTGCAGCTACGCAAAATCTAAAAAACCACGTACTACTGTCACTTTCAGGTCAGCTGACTATAATTGTTGGAAAGACAGGAAGTGGAAAGACTTCTTTACTATTAGGAATGTTAGGAGAGATCCAGAAGACAACAGGATCGATTCAGTGGGCTAGGTAAGTCAGAGATCTCCTTGTTATTTCGAATTTTTCTATATTCTAATTGTAAACGAACTATTGTAAAATAGAGGGGTGAAGGTTGCATATGTGGCTCAGAAACCCTGGCTCCAGAACGCTAGTTTGAGGGACAATGTTCTTTTTGGATCACCGTACAAATTGAGAAGGTACAGGAATGTATTGAAGGCTTGCGCTCTGCAACCGGATGTCGATATACTTCCGGGTCGCGATTTCACGCGGATAGGTGAGAAAGGGATCAATTTGAGCGGAGGCCAAAAACAGAGAGTAACTATAGCCAGAGCGCTGTACAACGACGCGGACGTTATAATAATGGTTAGCTAGTTTCTAAACTAAACATTTTATTTCTTAAATAAAAAATAGTACGTTGAAATAATTAGGTTTAAATAAAAGATTCAAATACTAATATTTGCAGGATGACCCGTTGTCCGCGCTGGATCATCAAGTTGCACAGCAGATCTTCGATCAAGGAATCCGGAAGCTGCTGCTGAGGAGCGGACGCACGGTGATTATGGTTACTCACCGACTAGAATTGTTATCAACTGCTCATCAAGTATGTCTCAGTCAGGCAATGTACTCTTACACTGTTCAAAACAATAGTTAATGTAGGTAATGCTACACTAAGTTATGAGCAGTGTATGATAAACTGAAATTGTTCAAGAAAAGGCGCAATAGATAAATGATCGTGTGGTTAAGGTTGTCGTGATGGACGGATGTCGTATTCGAGTAGTGGGCACGAAATCAGCGATCGAAGATGCTGATCCAGAATTAGCGATCGAGTGGAGGAAAACAGCAACGAATAAAAACGAAGGATATCGTGCTGATAGAACTGCGAAAGACAAGTGGGCCTTGATGAAATTAGTATCCAGAATCGGTGTGAGTGCGACGAACAAACAACTTGGCGATGGATCCTGGACCACTGATCAAGATGCCCATGTGGTAGACTTCGCGATTTATAATTATATTATCGTCGTGTTGCACGTTTTCTCTTCCCTTTTCTTTTCTCTTTCTTGTTTTGATCGATGAACTTAAAAATTTGGTTTCACCAGAATCCTCCAGCTTTCGTCCCGTTAAGAATGAGAAGAACTACCCTTGGCGGATCGAGATACTTAGCCCACGATCTGACAGATCTTCCAGTGCCCTCTGAAGAATGGAACATCGGGAAAAAAAGATTTAAATTCCATCGAAACGCTGTCAGATCGAGCAGTCTCCAACCTCAAAGACAACCACCCCCTGTTCTACGACAGAGCAGCACTCCAACCATTCTCGAAAGTCAATACGCTGTTCCTAGGTACGCTAGTGAAATTTTGATAGACTGTTTTTTTTTTTTTTTTCTTGCATAAATATAAAAATCAGTTTATTTTAGAAAAAGGAATAACACTTTTGACAACGGACAACGAAACGGCGTTTTCAGGCAAATATTTTCTGGCGCGTGAGTCGAATAGCTATTTTTAAATTCTTATAACGATTTGAAATGGATGAATCTTATTTTTGAAATCTTCTGTAGAATTATCAGTCCACGTCCCGATGAATTGACATTAAATAGAGACAGAGGCGTGCTACGAAAATTAATACCTTCTAACTCTAACAGACAAATACAATACACTGTTAAAAAGTACGAAAGAAATGAATTTATACTATTTCTCATATGCAACAATATCTCTTTTTACGAATAGTTTTTATCCATTTAGAATTAATCAAGAACAGGAGAATGATCATTTTCCCGTTAAACGATTGCTATCGATAGAGTCCACAGGAACTAATGAACCCGATGAACTTGAAGGAAGTTAGTACACTTTATAAAGAAGCTACTACTGATAAGTAATATCGAAAAAGAGTACAAAAAGGCTAGTTCTTTTTTTTCTCTTTCTCTCTCTCTAGACGACTGTGATACAGAGGAACAAGAAGAAGAATTTCAATATGAAGATAGAAGTGGAACAGTCACAAGGATGATCCTTTGCGATTACACAAAAGCTGGAGGCTGGATACCAGGCCTAATTTACATAGGAGTAGCAATTTTTTGCCAAGTTCTGAGAGTTTATATCGATCTCTGGTTGAGTCAGTGGACAGACGAGGACAATATAAACTTCAATCAAGAAAACCGAAATGTAACTGCGTAAAATAATTTTGTCCGTGATTTACGATTCGATTATTGAACATTACAATGGATAAGGAATCCGTTCAAACTGTGCTGTATTTTATTTCAGACGGTGTTCTATTTTAAAGTTTACATTATTCTTTCCCTTGTCTTTATACTCTTGTCTTTCGTATGCAATGCAACTGGTCAGTGGACAGGAGCCAGAGCGAGAAGAAAATTACACGAGGAAGCCGTGTCCAGACTTCTTAGAGTACCGATGTCGTTCTTCGATTGTAATCCTGTGGGAAAAATTTTGAACAGATTCAGCGCCGATACAGGCGTCATCGATAAGGTGAATAATCGATAAAAAAATTAGTCGATTCGTGGTTATTAAAGAAATGCACAGTTATTTATCTTTTTGTTTTTTTTTTTTTTTTTTTTAAGAAAATATCTATGTCGATCCAAAGACTGACATTCTTCGTCTTGCTCTGTGGTTCAGCGATATTAGTAAACGTCATCGTATCACCGTGGTTCTTCATCGCTGCTATACCCACGTGTGCAGCTTATTATATCGTTCAAAAGTTTTATAGATGCAGTGCGAAACATTTGCAACGATTAGACGGCAGGTACGGTACATATTTTTGTAAGTGGTATTTGGTTTTCTGCGAATATTTTCTACAAACTTTTCCTTAGCTTTTGTAAACCTTCATAGATTAACATAGAAAACTCTCCGCAAATTTGCTCCAGACGAATCGTTATTCTTCCTTGAAAAATCTTTTAAAACGTTTGATTTTAAAACTGATTATGCAATGTTATAGAGAGTTCAATCAGTAAAAAATGTATTTGTGAACATAAACTTGCACGACCCAATTTGCAAAAATATACTTGTCCAATTGATCAAATATTTTTTAGCGAATTTAAAAAAAAATTTTGCCTTTCTAAATCCTGTGTTCATCTAAAAATCTCAATTATTCGTTTCTAGTACCCGATGGCCAATCACAACGCATTTTTCTGAGACACTTCGCGGTCTAGCAACATTACGTGCTTCCAAACAAGAGAATCGCTTCATGGAACAGGCTATGAAGTGCCTAGACGTTAACACGAACGCGTTTCTCCTCCTGAATTCCAGCAGCCGGTGGCTCGGCATTGCTCTAGTGAGAAAACTTGCAAAGCTTCTAGAATTATTTTTACAGTTTGCCAGTTCGGCTATTGTATCTTTATTATAAATTTTAATATTTAGGATTATCTGGGTGCTGTTATAGTAGGATCTGCGACACTCGCCGTCTTAATTTCCGCAGAATTGTATCCAGATCGCGTTACACCTGCTCTAGTTGGTCTGGCGATTAATTACACCCTCTTAGTGCCAATTTACTTAAATTGGGTAGTGAAATTCACAGCGGAGACCGAAATGTATCTTGGTAGCGTTGCACGTATCTCTACTTACAGATATGCTCCTATTGAAAACTACCAACAAAATGGTACTTTAATGCTTTTTAATCTTTCATCGTTGTTTCGTTATAAGAACCAAATGAATTATTAATATATTTTCAATATTATCTACGTTTTCTGGAATATTTTATACGATATTTTCTAGACTTCCACGTATCTGATAGTTGGCCAGGTAAAGGTGAGATTATTTTTGAAAATGTTTCTCTGAGATACGTTTCACAAAGAGAACCAGTGATCTCGAATCTATCCTTGAAGATTACGCCAGGCCAAAAGGTAAAAATTACAAAGAATTACAAAATTCTAGGTTTTCATAGATATTTCTCGCAGATTGGAATTTGCGGAAGAACGGGAAGTGGTAAGTCGTCCACAGTAATGGCGCTGTTTCGACTATTGGAGATTACTCAGGGACGTATATCGATCGATGGCACAGACGTTCGTCAAGTTCCTCTGGAAATTCTTCGTTCGAGACTCTCAGCGATTCCTCAGGATGTGATCATGTTCAGTGGTACCATTAGGTATTTTATACATTTATTTTTTTTTTTTTTTTTTAACAGAGAACGTCCTTTGAAAGCGACGATAAAATACGAATATTATTTCCTCCAGAGAGAATTTGGATCCTCTATCGGAACACGAAGATCTGGAACTGTGGAATGCTTTGGAAGTAGCACAAATTAAGGATATTATTGCCTCTCATCCTGAAGGTCTTAGTAAGTGAATTTCTAATTCCGAATGCAAAGTTCAATTTTATAAATTAAATAAATTTCTTTTTCTCGTACCTGATGATCAAAAAATTGCAACGTTCGTAACAATATAAGTCTTCAAATCGAACAGACTTTAAGATAAAAGGAGAAAATGAAAGCTTCTGTTAATAAATCGATATTTACGTTAAAGCTCTAGTCAGTGGTCCAATTTTTCACTAAATATTTTTAACAATACTATTCTTTAGAAAATATATAAGAATACAATTTCCCGAAACAGATTTCGAAGTGAAAGAAGGAGGTGAGAACTTTTCTTCCGGTCAGCTGCAGCTGCTCTGTATGGCACGAGCAATCCTGCGGAAGTCTTCGATCGTCGTCCTCGACGAAGCAACCAGCGCTCTCGACGCCGTTACTGAAAAGAATCTCTTGAAAGCAGTTTCAACTGCTTTCAGGAACAGAACAGTGATTGCTATCGCGGTAACTTCGCTTTAATTCTCAACGTGCTTTATATCCACGAAGGAAAATGACCGTAACAACTTCGTTCCCTGTTAATTACGTTTGATACTTTACTTTTCAGCACCGTGTGTCAGCGTTATTGGATTGCGATCGAGTAATCGTGTTCCACGATGGTAAAATCGTCGAAGATGGACTACCAGCAGACTTAATGCAACGGCAAGGTGGATTCTTCGCGAATATGTTGAAGTCCAATGAAGAGAATGAAACGACTAATTGTTGAAAAAGCACACGTGCATAAAAGAACGATGATAAAGGTCGATAACATTGAAAGACTGGGACAGAAGAACGTATCTAACCATGTTTCGTCACAAAGTATTTATTTTTGATACGAATGATAAATGTAGAGTATCGTAGTGATATAGGAATTTCTGAAATATTTTTGTAAATACGAAGATGCATTCGAATGATCGTTGATCGATCTGAAATACATTTCACTGTTATTCGCATTGCATAGATAACGAAGCTGCGTTGCATATAAAAATCACTCACAAATAAAATACATAATAACATATTTTAAAAACCTTTTCGTTTTGAATCCGTATATTATTAACGAAGAAAATGAAAAAATAATTCTACCATACAATTGTGTATATTTTTATACCTTCGCTCTAAAAATATCTCATCCCCGAAATTTCTCAATCACCAGAAAAATCGTTCGCGTACATGTTTCTAACGTCGATCGGAAAGCAAGAGAAAAGAATCGATCAAAGGAAAGAATCTTAGGCCAATTAATTCGTTCGATCCATCGTGCATATATTAATGGAATGCACCTATCTCCTAATCAGATCGAACGTGTCGATGCAAATGTACTTTCTCGGGCTATTTCGGTGGTATCGGTTTTTCCGCTCGAATCATGCCATATTCACGTATACTCGAATACATAATCACTGGCGGCATATATTACGTGCGGATAAGGTGGCCAACGATAATAATTGCCAATACCCCCACTGTTTGACAGCGATGGGAAATGAGCGCGTATTTTTCAACTAGTGGCATTGAGAGCGGCCTGTCGATAAGACCGCGAGTCTGTTAACGAAAGTTGGTCGAATTCGTTCCACTTCTCCTTTACTGTCGACTCGAAACTAACCCCTTCTCTGTCCTATTTCGATCATAATGTCGACGAAACTTGACGCGTTTAGATATTCTATCGAAAATTTTCATATTTTTCAAATTCAGTGACAAACACTTGATCTTGCTCATTTTTGAAGCTTAAAAAAGAGAATCGCGCGAGGTAGAAATTAACGCGTGAGAAAAATGAAAGCGCGCGTTCGCCTCTGAGTTTCGTGTCTAAGCAGAGGCTTTCTAATTATCGTGAATAATCGATCCGCGCGAGATCGTAGTTGGTAACGGACAATGAATCTCGAAAGTGGCCAGTGCAGCCGGTGTTCCGCAGTTTTGTAAACCTTCGCAGGAGAATAAGTCGTAAGGGAGCAGACGTATTTGAACGTGAGTATGCTTGATTAACGTTGTTTACGTGTTTGTCGATCGTGCAACGGGTTCTTCCGCCGAGATTAGATCGGAGATTCGGAGCATTCCTCGTTCACGTGAGTCGTGAAATTCGTGTTGACAAGCACGATTTACTTACTCGATAGAGGCTGATATCTGTTAATAATAATTGTTGTCACGTCGAGCTCGCGGAAGAAATGGAGCAAGAAAGCTTTTACCTGGCCGATGATTCATCGTGGAACGAGTACCGTAAGTTTTTTCCATAACTGCCGGATGCTTTTACAAGTTTTTGTAATTTACGATCTACCATGATCATTTGCAAGAACGAGTTCTTGCAAATGATGCGATTTTCATTTGACACGTCACAAAGTAAGGCAGGTGGGAGAATCGAAGATCATGTCGAAACACTTGGTTCGTTGTGGTCGTATAAGAAAGTGTGACACGAAAAAAAGCGAGAAAATAGGAAAAAGGGAACGTCCGATAGATGAGAAGCGATAAAGGCACCGAACTAAGCGATAAGAGGCCATTTCAACGATAAAATAAGAAAACGGGTGACTATCGGTATATTCAGGGACACGGCCATAGAAAACTGTATAAAGAGTTCATTTCAAAGGTGAATACGTTCGTAACAAATTTCTTAATTTCTAATTTCGTAATTAATTCTTTTTTTCGGTTTCCATTTTTTTTCTTTGAATTTTAAATATTACGTATTTTTGTATACGGTGATCGTGCCAGCTATGAACAACAGATAAATTCAAGTCTATCAATAGTAGCCTCGTTAGAATCGATCGTCGATTAATTTTATTCAATTCAGAAAATTTGAAACCGCTCGTTGCATGCATGTAATTATTTTCGGCGTTAGCGAGCCCATATTATCGTGAATACAATGAAATAATTCTGTTTTTTACAATTCGTAATCGATAAAAAATGTAATCATGTAATGTTAAAAATGTAAATGTTTCAGAAAGAAAGCTTAAAAAATTTCATTCTTTTCGGTTCGAAAATTCACTTGAGAATCTTAAGAACTAAAGAGAAATTAGAAAGAGAAAAAGAAAGATAAAACAACGGATATTCTCGCGATCCAGAAAATGATCAAGGAAGAGAACTCAAAAATCTTTTTCTATTGGAGAAAGATGATGGTTACAAAGTACTGAACCATCCCCTCTCCATCTGAAAAAGAAAAAGCGGACATACCAGCCTTATTAATGAAAAGAGAATAGAATTCATTAGATAAGACGTGGCCGTATGTGTACCTGCCTGTTGACACTGCGTCTCTTTGTTATCGGCTAGATAAGATTTCTGCGTCTTTGTCGAACTTGAGATATCAGTTTTATGCGCGAATTCACGGAGTGCAGCTCATCGTTCCTCAGAAAATCATTTATTTCGTTATTTGACACGTCGAGCAAAATTACATTCTTAACCATTGAACGAACTAGTTTTTAGCAAGATTTTTCGTTTCTTGGAAAGTTTTCTCGACTCTCGGTCGCGTCTTCCACGTTAAATCTGAAAGGTGAGTTTCTACATTCAACGTCCACGTTACGAAGACGTCGACAATTTTTATAGGAAACGAAGATCGCAAAAAGACGAGACTATGTACATATTACATGAATATATTCATAAGGGCGAACTCTTCTGTTTGGAAGAGTTTTATCTCAAGATCTAATCGATCAGACAGAGGAACATTAATCGTGAGATAAAATTGACTCGGTAGTGTCTGTTAAATCAATTGCAGTATAATGCGAGCAACGTCAGATGACAGATAAGGTTCTTGCCTTTCTGTCTCGCATGACGTTGTAAAAAACAAATATTGCATATGATTAAGTAATTTCGTTGTACAATTAAATATTAACTTTCGTCCATATATATGAGATAACGTTCTCTGAATTCAAATGTGAAAGAATCGAGAGTGAAAAACAGTAACGATCGAAGAATGATCGATCGACGATTGCTTTAAAGTTCGTTGATTAGATTAAAATGGGAGAAAAGTTTCGATTCACCTTTTACTAATTCCATTGTTCTTGTATAAATTCGGGCGTAACAGAATCACGAGATGACAAAGCAAACAGGGTAACCAAAAGAAAATCAAACACGATAACGAGACGAAAATATTGGCGAAGTGCAAAAATAACCGTGGAATATTTAACAAAGTGTGTAAGACGGAATCAGAGGTGACGTCTTAAGAGGGAAAACACACACTGAGAAGCACGTGTGGAACGATTACACTCGAGTTAATTGTGCTTGTCGCAGCGGTTGATTAAGCGCGAAACACAATTAAAACAGTACTTCAACGATATTTCGTTAATATAGACCTCTTCAATTTTGAGATAGGCACGCAGATTTGTTCGTGAGCGTGAACGAAACTTAACGAATCATATCAGCGAACGTGTACATTAATTACAGAATTAAACAAGACCGTATATGTATGTACATGTACGCGACGAAGCTGCGTTTCTCGATGAATACGAAAAACAGTAACGATGTTTGAGTTTGTTTTAACAGTCTGCAAAATATCGTTAACGATATCACCGATGTTGCGAATGGAATGTTCGAAGGATTTGGTCAATATAAAATATTTGTCATCTGTAGGTAAACCGACAGAGACAACTTTGCTTGACAATAATTTAACCAAATACAGTCTCGAAAGAGAAAAATGTTCCACTCTCTTTATTTCGTTGTAGCTTTTACGAAACACTTCCTAAATAACGCGCATGTCGTTGCAATTACTACTGACAATGGAAAAATCACTTGACATTGACGAGATAAGGTAATTAGCTCGAAATGGGAAAACGAGCAGGAATTAAAGGTACTGATAACGACGAAGTTTAAAAAGTTCTCGTTGTTTTCAATATTTCCAACGTCGCGAAATCCAACCGGTATTATTAACACTTCTCATTCCGCTATTATTTACTCATTTCTATCAATATTAGCATCAGCTACTCTACCATCTACTAATATGAACGTTACACATTACGCACATGACTGTCACGGATCTAAGTCACCTACATACACATAGCAGTTTCCAATGAAAAAAGGAATTAGAAAAAGCTGTAAATCGTTTACAATTCCAATGGACGTGCTTGGACGTGAAAGATATTTAATCTTGCGTAATCGTGGCAAAATAATATCGCAGAGGAATAAAAAATACCTGTGATATTTTCATTGTTAACATAGATCACGATCATCGGTCGCATGCTTTTCATTCCAACGGGCTTAACGAGTAACATTCGCGCGAGCATTGTGCAAGAAAAATTGCGAAACGCCAACTTGCGCGTGCTTGTGGTGGAACGTCCTCGTGATTACGTAAAAAGAAGAAAAAAGAATAGACACAAAGAGACAAAACAGGGAAACAATGGTCGACTGAAAGGAAAAAAGACGAACGACTTCGATCGCTTCTTCGAGTTAATAGCTCGACTTCTAACGAAGCAGGAAATGCTACGCGAAACGAACCTGGTGCCGCAGTTAGATAGGATCTGCCACGGAAAGAGACGATTTTCTAGTTCCTCGCTGCTTCGGCGATCGTTTCGTGGCATTACGTATACTCGCGTGAGCTCGAACCAGCCAACTTTCGATGGTAATCTCTTTCGTTTCGCTTTGTTTCCCTGCTTCCTATGTTGATCCTCACCCTCGCCGAGTCGCCAACTGGACAGTTTTTTCGAGATAATCTCTTACTTTTGATTTATGACAAGGAAGTCAACGCAGAACGAAATTTACTCGCAGTTGAAGTTACTACGAAGATCGATGTCTTTCCTGCAGTCGAACACGTGATTTCTGCTGATCTATGTATAATAATCAACCTGTTACTTCGAAATTATAAATTGAGTATTTTCTTTTCTTTTTTTTTCTTCTTTTTTTTTGGAGAATAATTTTTTAAACGACCGAGATTATTGAAAAAGTATGACAATTAGCAAGGATGTACAAGCACGTGCTCGACAAACACGGCATAAATAACATTTGGCCAGATCCTCGTATGACTAATCAAACACCCTTATCAGTCTCTTAATATAGTATAAACCGACGTTGCTCTTTGTAACGAGATTACGTTAGCATTTCAAGATACGATCAAACAAAGACTTCAATTAATCCGCCCTCATTTTTCGAATTTTCTCATACAATATCGAAGAATAATCGTTCCGTTTAGAGTTACAAACGAGTTTGCCTAATTTTTCACAAGTGTACAACTTTCTTGCTGACTAAGCTGAACTATGGCCGACGAAAATGAACATCAAGATCGCGATAACATCAACTTATTAAATTTCAGTCTCTGACTGAACGATTACTCGTATTATTACTCGTATCGTACGATTAGGTACAGTCCGAAAATTATCGAATTTTATTACATAAGACAACATTCCATTCGAGTAACAAATCGAAAGATAGATGGAACGATAAAACACTCTCAAACAACGAATTTGTATTCGAGACGATAATGAAATGGGGATCGATTATGCTCTAGTTAATGCGAAAATTTGTTGACAATGGAAACCATCCAAAAGATCGTACCTTGAAACGAGAATATCCACATCGTGAGAACGTGCTAATATGTCGTGACGTCAGCATACGATATATCGTGCATCAAAGATCATTAGCATAAGCATGTGATCAGCTAAACCACGTGCTCGTGATCGTCTGGCGTAAAAACTTTTTGTTTGACGGTAACTTTTACGGGAGTCGACGATCTCGATAGTAGATCTCGGCAAAACATCTGTAAATTGTGATTATCGATAGTTGATAGTTGAGTTTTAACTAAAATTTTCCTACTATATTTGGTAAGTTTTTATTTAAACTATTAAGAAGCAAAATAAACGTTAACGCGGCGCGACACTTTGCTTCTAACGTTTTTTTTTTAATCAGTTTACATTATCGAATTCTATCGAATTGACATTGTAAGGAAAGAAAGAAAAGTTATTTTTGTATCTCCGGTTTGTGTAATAATCTTTCGTAATTCTAATACTATTCTTGTAACTCTATAAAAGAATAACTTACGCCATTTATGTTT